AGCTCATGGAAGGATTTTCTTTTTTTGGGGGGGGGAGGGGAGAAGCTGGTCTGCAGGGGTGGGATTCTGCTGAAGAATGTTTGTGTTTGTCTAATACTCCTCTCTACATATACACCAACGCTCCAGTTACATATGAACAGCAACCATAAAAACAATAATGTCACCACTGCTTTTATTCCTTTGCTCTGATTGCTGACTTGGACAGCAAACATGAAAAATACCACAAAGGAAATAGAGGTAAATGATTCAGAAAACAAGGCCCCGTCATGGGACATGACACAAAGACTCACAAAAGGGCATCTAGCTATCTGTATATTTATCCTACTTGTCTCGCAATAGTATCTTGAACAACTGACAAATTCTAAAAGAATCACCCAGGTTCTCAGTTGCTTAGTATGTCAAGGCTGTTAAATGTGCTAATGCAAAGGAAGGCACAGACACTTCTGAGAGAGTGCAGTGGATCCTGTTCAGCCAGCCCCCTCCTGGATATGGCAGCAGAGGATTGGACAATTAGGCCATTTTGTGCTTTGTGCGCCTACTCAGCTGGGCCAAATGCGTGTCTGTGGTGGACATGCCAATATACCCTTCACTTTCTCCTGCACGGACCTGGTGTGGATGTGATATGGGCAGTGTGCAGGAGAAGGTGGGGATACTCTCAAAGGCATATTAGGCAGGGCTGACGAGAGTCTTTTTTGGGCTGTGTGGGAGCCAGTTCTGGGAAGGAGCAGAGCTTTGGGCAGAAAGAGCAGAGCTAGGAGCTAGCTTCCCCCAGTCAGCCCTTCGGCATCTCCCGGGTTGCAGGGCGCGTACATTTGGTACTCTGATAGAGTTTTAAAGGGCTCAGGTCTCTGGCCATTGCCACAGCTGAAGTAGCAGTGGAGGCGGCTGGGAGCCACGGGCCCTTTTAAATTGCTGGGCCCCAAGGCAGCTGCCCCTTTGCCATGAGTGGGAGGGGGCTCAGTCCTGATACTAGGCCACTGTGGGTTTGCCCTAACCCTTCTAGATTTGTAACTCAGGAGTTGTACGTTTTTTGTGTGTTATTCACAAATAGGCTGTGAGTTACACAAAGAGCAAGATGGTTATGTTTCCAGATAACTGAATTAACACCATCTATAAGGGCTTGCCAAATTTATGGTGGCGAAAAATGTGTATCAGCCCATGAAATCTGGTTTCCCCTAGTGAAATCTTGTCTTTTGTGTACTTTTACCCTATACTCTACATATTTCATGGGGGAGATCAACATTTCCCAAACTGACCCAAAATGGCAAGTTGGTGGAGTTACAAGGTTATCATACAGGGGGACATGATTTACAGTATTGCCACCCTTACTTCGGCACTGAGTTCAGAGCTGGACAGCCAGAGTAGCTGCTGCTAGTTGAGAACCTAGCTCTGAAGGCAACACCACCAGCAGCAGCAGCGCAGAAGTACCGATGTCATGATATGGCATTGCCACCGTACTTCTCTGCGGCTGCCTTCAGAGCTGGGCATTTGGAGAGTGGCATTTGCTGACTGAGGGCCCTGCTCTGCAGGCAACAGCACAGAAGTAAGAGCGGCAACGCCATACTTGCAACCCTTCTTTTGGTGCTGCTGCTGCTGCTGAGTCTGCCTTCAGCACTAAGCTCTTGGTCAGCAGCCACTGTTCGCCTGCCACCCAGCTCTAAAGTTAGCACTGTTGTGAGGCAGAAGCCCAGAAGTAAGGATGGCAATACTATGACCCCGCTACAATAATCTTGAGACCTTCCCCACAACCTGCCTTTGAATCAGGACTTTTACGGTTACACCACCATGTATGTTCAGATCTAAACAGCTGAAATCTTTACATTTACAATTTTTAAAATCCTATGAAATTGACCAAAATGGACCGTGATTTTATTAGGGCCCTATATATAACATTAGAGATGGGCCCAAGCAGTTAAATCAGTGGTGGCCAACCTGTGGCCCCTAGATCTTCTGTCTACCCTCTCCTTTACGTACCTCTCTTACACAGGGGCACTGGAGCCCCACACATCCAACTCCCCTTCCCTTTCAGCACTTTTGGAGCATCACAAATCTATTGACTCCATGTTCCTCCCTCTGCCTTCCCAGAGCTTGAACACTGTGAATCAGCTGTTCGTGCCTGTTCAAGTTCTAGGAGGAAGGGGGAAGAGTAGGGATGGAGTGTGAATCAGCGGATTTGTGGTGCTCTGAACGTACTGAGAGGGGGAGGAACAGGTAAGTGCAGAGCTTCAGTGCCCCAGTGCACAAAAGGGGGGCAGAGAGAAGGTGTGCGGGCCATGTATGTTCCACTGAGATGGAGAGCCACTCATGTGGCTCACTCACTAATCTGGGTTGACCATTGCTGAGCAAAATTATTGTGGCAGGAACCAAGGATAAAACTTGGGTCCTGAGACTCAGTGTGCCAGATGCATGGTCAGTGCTAGGATACATATTTTTGCCCACTCTTCTAGTCCCTTCCACCTTTCCCTGGAAAAACAATCTACTATCTAACTTGAAAAAAGAAAAAGACCCTGTCATAGCCCCTCGTGCTTTATGAAAATTGTCTTATGAATATGAATATACATAACTCAGAGATGCTTTATGCAAAACCAGTCTCGTAACACATCAAGCTTAAAGTTACAATCTGCACAATCTGAATATCCTTTTGTTGTGCATGTATCATTCTTGTTTGTGAAATTAGAAATATGAATTGATCTGGTTGTAATTCTTGAAGTGCTAATAAGGGCCATTACGGATACTTAGGAACTTAATGGCTCAGTACTCAAACCAACAACCTGTGAATGGTTTTGTTTGTCCTGTAAGCCCAAACCATAAAAGGGCCTAGAAAGACATGTGACCATGCCATCCGGTGCTGGAATCCATTTTGAACCTGGTACTTTTCCAGGGGGATGGGAAGACTTAACAAAGGGTTCCTGCCCTGGGGGAAACTCTGTTTAAGGAATGGAAAGAAATCAGGTCTTTGTATTCAGCTGGCCTTTGAAACTGCCTCACCCGCCTTAAGATGATACACATGAAGAAACCTGAAAACAAAGAACTCTGGAAAAAAAAGCCGCTGTAGACCCAAGCCAGAGTAAAGATCAACTCTGACTTGAAGCATTTTACTTGAGATAAAAAGAACTGTTTAGGGTAAGAATTTGCATGTAACGAGTTTCTTAGTATATTATAATGAGCATATTTTGTTTATTTTAACTTAGTAACTTACTTTGGTCTGTTTTCACGTGCAATCACTTAAATCCTACTTTTTATACTTAATAAAAACACTTTTGTTTATTATCAAGCCCAGTGTAAATAATTGTTACCAGGGTAGGGGGCGGGGGAGGAGAGGAAGCAACCACTGTGAATATCTCTCTTTCATTGATAAAGTGGGCGGACCTCCCTATGCACTTTCTCTGTGTAAAACTTTTACATAGGATGAGGAGGATTTATTTGGGGTTTTGATCTCTTTTGGGTTTTACTTTCCTGGGTATTGTTAATGGGCCTTACAGCTGAGCCCTCATGGAGCTGAACTGGTTCAGTGTCAGTGTTGTTCTGCAGGGGAGAGGTAACCCTAACTTTGTGCGTTGGCTGAGCCCAGCAGGCCAGGATGGTGAGAAGCCTTAGAAGGCAGGAAGGCAGGCTCAGTGGCTTGAGCAGCAGACCAGGAGACAACCCCAAGGGGATTTCTGTGATCCAACCTATCACAGACCTTTTCTCCAACCACACCCAGAAATAGCCAATCCCTCACCCTCTTGTACAGTGACTGCACATCTAGGTGACAGGCCACACCCACTAGCCAGGGCACCACCGCCCTCCAAAGGAGCTAGTTTGCTGCCTTGAAGTGCAAAGAAGAGTGTTCATTGGAGAACATGCCCAGAAAGAGATGCACAAGAGCCGGCAGTAAAATGTCTCTGGTATGTCCAAAAACAACTACTGCATTTCCTCCCTTCCAAACAGGGACCGACTTCTAAGTCTTAGAATTTATCATGGATCTAAATAGAACTTCAAAGGGAAAGTGAGTGGGGACAGCAGCTCCTACTGACATAAGATGAAAACGGGACAGATAAGGTCCTCCAGAGACAGGTGAGACATGCTTCATGGGAGGGACAGAGGAATTACTCTGATGCTGGGAAACAAGGATTTGTACACTAAGGCTGTGTCCAGACTCCATGCCTCCGTCGACGGAGGCATGTAGATTAGCCAGCTCGGAAGAGGGAAATGAAGCCGCGATTAAAATAATCGCGGCTTCATTTAAATTTAAATGGCTGCCCCGATCTGCCGATCAGCTGTTTGTCGGCAGATCGGGAGAGTCTGGACGCGATGCCCCGACAAAGAAGCCTTTCTTCATCGGCACAGGTAAGCCTCGTGAAACCAGGTTTACCTGTGTCGATGAAGAAAGGCTTCTTTGTCGGGGCATCGCGTCCAGACTCTCCCGATCTGCCGACAAACAGCTGATCGGCAGATCGGGGCAGCCATTTAAATTTAAATGAAGCCGCGATTATTTTAATCGCGGCTTCATTTCCCTCTTCCGAGCTGGCTAATCTACATGCCTCCGTCGACGGAGGCATGGAGTCTGGACACAGCCTAGGACAAATTCAATGTTAAGATAAATTCTTTCAAATCTAACTTCAGCAATGTGAATAGCAATTGTCATCTGCTCTGTTTTTTCACATGTATTGAAGATGGCTCCCGGGAGCTGCTTCTAAAACCAAAACCAAAGCAGAGATTGGTGCAATTATCATGTCTTAAATGAAGTTCTCCCCTACTCCGGTTGCTATTAAAGTATCCCTGCTGGAGACTAGTGTTAAGCCTGCAGCGCCTAAAAATATTACCAAAGAACAATGTTTTGTTATTGTGCAAAATGTCCTCAATTTTCATTAGTAAAAAGAAAAGAAAAAATCTTTTGTGAAGATACCCGGAGTATTAACCCTTGAACTGTTAAATGTTATATACATTGAACTGTTTTAGACTCACTCTATACTCACGATAAACTAATTGAAACAAACAGTTTATTAAGTGAAATTTACTTGTGTTTCCTTTTTGGAAATCTCTGTGAAAATGTTCTGATTTTTATTAATTTCTTGGTTATACTTAGTTGGTCTGCTATCAGACAGTGTGAATATCCTATAGGGAGTTCACAATATGATTTATGTGAGTGTTATCGCTTCATGCCACTGCCCTGGACATTATGGGTCTGTTCACTTAAAACTGGGTAGCCTATGATTTATTAAGCAGAAAGCGATAGTGACCACATTTACAGATTATATGCAACCATTCATGCTTTTCCAATGAATCTGCCATGCAAATAATCCCAAAACAGCTAACTCGCCACAAAAATTATTTCTGTAGCACTAAGGGCTCTATTGTGCTAGATACTATAGAAACGTGTCATAAAAACATTTTTTCTTCTCAGTTTTTATACTCTAAGGCTCCAATCTGGCATGTGTTTAAGTTTATGCACAGCAAGTAGTCCCACTGAAGTCAACAAACTACATCCAGGCTGCGTCTAGATTGGCATGATTTTCCGGAAATGCTTTTAACGGAAAAGATTTTCAGAACAGAGCATCTAGTTTGGCACGGACGCTTTTCCGCAAAAGCACTTTTTGTGGAAAAGCGTCCGTGCCAATCTAGACGCGCTTTTCTGCAAAAAAGCCCCGATGGCCATTTTCGCGATCGGGGCTTTTTTGCGGAAAACAAATCTGAGCTGTCTACACTGGCCCTTTTGCGCAAAAGCTTTGTGCAAAAGGGACTTTTGCCTGAACGGGAGAATAATATTTCCGCAAGACTGATTTCTTACAGTAGGAAGCCAGTGCTTTTGCGGAAATTCAAGCCGACAGTGTAGACAGCTGGCAAGTTTTTCCGGAAAAGCGGCTGATTTTCCCGAAAAACTGGCCAGTCTAGACACAGCCCCAGTGTATAAAGTTAAGCATGTCTTTTGCAGGATCGGGGCTTGTATCAATGTAAATGGTAAGAAAATCATTATCGTTGTTTTTTTACTTTATACTAGCCAAGCCCCACCTCACAGCTGTTGTGCAGCAGGCTGACAGGCAGCAGAGACAGGAGGATGCAGCAGTGAGGTGGGGCAGGCAAGCGGGTGGCACTGGGGGTAGGCACAGGGGAGGGCTGGGCACGGGAAGACCTGGGGGCCACTAGCTGAGTGGGGTCGAGGGAGGGGTAGGCAGAGTGCGGTGGACAGGGACCTACCGCCAGTCCCACCACTCACAGCATCTCCCGCTTCTCTTTGTCCATGGGGCCAACGTGCTGCTCAGAGAAGTCATCGTGCTGCAGCAGCAGCTGCTTGATGGACCACAAGGCATTTCTCCCTGCTATGCTGTGCTGTCCTGACCTGCCAGACAGGCTGCCCCCAGGACACAGCGCAGGGCCCTGGCCCACGAGTCGCCCACCCCAGCAGGCACAGGTATGCAGGATATCACCGCCACCGCCAGCTCCCTGACACACCTGCTAGCCACTTGCTGGGGAGCCGCTGAGCCCCGCCCCAAATCCCTGAGGGGAGTGACCCAGGCCTCGCTCATCACTTCTCACTCATTCTGGCATTTTCTAGAAACTTTGCAAGTCTTCTCAAATGTTCTCTGTGAGAGACAGAGACATGACGGACACCTCTCCTTTTATAATAGTTTAGATTAGATTTAGATTTATGCAGCACCTGGTCAATGAGGCCCCAGTTCTGACATGGGGCCATTGGCTGCCACCAGTGTACCAATAATAAATAAGAGTAGGGGCACTTTGAGTACAAACATTCATACTGATATTTACAGATTCTGTATTTGTACAAATCTTATTGCAAATAAACTTGCCAGCCCCTGAATGAATGTTCACAAATCATTGTTGTGAATGCCAGGGTTTTATTTGCAAGAATGTTCACAAATACATTTTGGCTGAATTCAGCCAGCTCTGCTCACTATCATTTTCAGGGAGAAAGGAGAGAGAGGGAACAAGACAGATAATAAGCATACTCAAAGAAGCACATGTAATTCTGGTGTTGGCTGAAGTTTTTTGAATTTTCAAAATGCCAAAACACAGCATTTGTTGACAAAATCCTTCTCCTTGTGCCCCTCAAACTATCACTTTTTGACTAACTCTTACTATGTGTTTTTGCCAAGTGCTACTGCCTCTTTCCTTTGAAGGATCCTGTGACCATTTTGACTTAATGGTAAAATAAATCCCTTAGTCTGTCTTTCTGCAGCCTGTCTGGGTTCTGGTTTACAGCAGACTAACAGGAAAAATTTGGTTAAAATAACCACAATATGCCCCCTCTTTTGCAAAACACTAAGCTCTGGTCTACACTAAGGAGTTATTTTGAAATAATCCCCCTTGTTTTGAAATAAGTGGAGTATCCACACTACCAAGCCCGTTATTTCAAAATAACAGGCTGCTTATTTTGATTGTGTTAGTTCCGGAGTTATTATTTCTATTTTACTTATTTCAAAATAATTTCCTAATGTAGACATGCCCTAAGTGAAGACAGTTCTCAAATAAAGTATTTCTCAAATAAATTTTCTGCTAATGATTTGATTAATTCTCATTACTAAGATTCCCATTTTCCTCTGTAAATCTAGCTCCATTGCAGCCAGTGCTGGAGGGAAATTCAGGAGAAGCAAGATCCATTTCTAAGTATTCGGCTAGAAAGTTTTAGTTGACACTGATGTGAATGTACAAGCATTTTGAATTGACAAATCTAATAGGAATTGCTGAGTTTTACAATCCCCTTCCCCCGCCCCCCAGCTTTTAGAAGTTGGATGCTTTGTTGCAGAATGACACCTTGCTTATTTTGTATTAATTCACCATACAGGGAGACCATAGCATATTGTGGCTAAGCCCTATTGTATCCCTTTTAGCCTATACTTGTTACTCTTTCTTTTAATACTCATGTAAGAAAGTATTTTGCACCAGCAAGATTTGGTTAGCTTTAATACACAGTAACTATAATGGGTTGCTTTGTCCATGTTACAGGTGGTTTTTCCCATTCCACCCTAAAGTTTCCAATTTGTGATATTACCCTTTTTGTTTAGCTTTAAGCCTTCACCAACACATAAAGGGTAAAAGAAAACATCTTTAATAACATTTAACATTTAAAAATGCCCCTTATTCCCACCCTCAAAAATTACTATTAAAGTGACCAAATGACAGCACAACACACACACACACAGAAATATTAGAAGCAATGGAGATCAATTGTCCACAATGTGCTTTTCCTTCTGGTGTGCTCCAGTTGTTCCCCATTAAGGCTGCCAGGCTTTATTTTTTTAAGGGTTTCTTCTTTCATCATAAAACATTCATTGTAAAAAAATTATTTATATATATAATATATCTATATCTCCAATGCAATTGTTGTGCCAAACTCTGAGAAGTGCCACCTTGGTTGTCAAGTTTCTGGAGATTGAACAGTTGTCCCTGGAACAGCTGCATTTCTGTAAGCCCAGGGCAGGTGGCCCAAACTAGCCACTTGCCACTCATAAGCCCAGGCTGAAAGATCTGTCCAGTTTTGTTACCAGTCCAAAAGTGTTCATGAATTAAAATTTCTTTTCCTCCTAGTGTTCTATAAAGTACAAATCCAGTTCAAAAGCACTGAGTATCTTCCCAACCTGCTTTCAAGAAATAATTCTCATTGGCATAAAAAATATTCACACCACCAAAAAAACCAGTTTCCTTCCCCCTCCCTTAAGAAGGTCAGTGATTTCACACCACTGCCCACTTTATTTAATTCTTTTTTAAGGAGTCTGACCACAGTTCTGGGTGTGGAGCTAGTTTAAATAAAAAGTTCTTTGGCTCTCCTCTTTCAACAGAAGGAATTTTATCCTCCACAATATGTTTTAGATATTGTACTTGAAATGCCAAGTAGCGTGATTTCCATTGCCTTTCCCATGTTCTTGTCCTTGAAATGCCTGGAATAGATGCTGAGCCATGGTTGGCTTGTCTGAAGGAAGAGAAGAAGGGGTACTCAGGGGTCTGTGAGTCAGCAGATCAGCTCAGGAGAGATCCACCACAGAAGGAATAACGGCGAGCTGAAAACCAAGATCAGAAGCTGTTACAAACCGACTCGATTTCAGCTCTGAACGTCACCAATTCTACTAGGCAGAGATTTACTGGGGGAGAGCCCCGGGGAAGAAGAGGTGAAGGACAGGTCTAAAACCAGTACAGGTCCTTGCTTTTATCCTGAGGCTGCAAACCTGAGAATTGAGAGAGGGGGGAAAAAGGGGGAAAGAAAAAAAGGTACAAGATGTTTAAGGACAGAGAAAGCCAAACACTACCATTTCCTTGTGAGAGCAAAGAAGGGACTCTAACTGTGGTGGCTACCCAGAATGGAAGGCAGTGGTGAAGCAGAGGAAAAAAACCCCACCCAAACTAGCCAGGGAAAGGCGTGGCTCCCTGTTGGATCTAAAGCCCAGCCATGAGAGGGATCATTCATTGTGATCAGCATAATTATGTGCCCAGCCCCAGAGAAGATAAATTCCCTATTTTTGTGTGCTCACCCAGCTAGAAACCAGGCCTATATGTGTCTCACCTTTCCAGAGAAAACATAGCTGCAAAAAGCTTCCCCTAGGCACCTGATCACACATAAAAGACCAGCGGATCAGCTTTCCAGGGGGAGGGGGAGCCGCTGCACTTTCTCCTGAGCAAAGCAGACGTGCTTCCCCCTGCCCCGGGGGAGGCGGTGAAGTCTGGAAAGGGCCCTGCAGGCAGCCCTGGGGCAGGGCGGGCCCTTAGGCAGCAGCCTTCCTGCTAGGCGGGCTCGTTTGGAGGCTGCTCCCAACTCCAGCCTCCCCAGGCCCGGCACGTGTCAGGGGCGG